GTACACTTATTTAAGTGATACAATTACCTAATCGACCAACCAGATTTAAAACGATTATGAAAATTATACGTATAATAAAAAATTAATACTTTCAACGTCAAGACCAGCATAAATTCTGATTATTTTTTCTATATATGTATATGCATAGATTTTGTCGACTTAATACTGTAATACTAAAATAGTTTAGGTTATTTGATTTCGAACATGGGATCTACGGCCAAAATTTCCTTGCAATTCCAGGAAAGGAAATTTTCATCCGTCATTTTTGTATAAATAAAAAAATAAATTATGATAACGAAAGTGTAAAGCGGTATTTTATACATTGTCTTTCAGGCAGCAACAAAAAAAAGACGGTGGAAATAAAAAGATTTCGTATTCATTATGTTATTAACACTACCTAGATTTGTAAATATATTTTGACGTTTTTTTGTCGGATTTTTTACTGGACAGATGAGTTGATAATCACTGATCGTCAAAGACCATAAAAACGCAGCGAAAAAATTTGATCTTTTCTAAATTCATTTTTTTTTTTTAGTCATCAGGAAAAGAAAAAATATCTATTATAATACTGTAATAGAAAAACATAATCATCTCTGATGCTGCTATGTAGATCAGATTATAGTGAAATAGTCGTACGTGTGTCTTCATTTTTTAATGTGGTTACGTAAATTTATTTAAAAAATGGGTTATTTTTGTTATAACTGTGTTATTAGTCAAATTGTGACCAACAATTAGTCATTCTGATATATTCACAACCTTGATATATTTTTTGCAATCATTAATTTGGTAGATACAATTCAAAAAAAAAATAAATTGGGCATCCTTAAATTGTTCGCATCATGAAAATTATTTATAGTGGATTACTATTACCAATTGGTAATCTTTTTTTATATGATTGACCACCTCCGACTGGTAATTTTTTATATTTTTCTATATCGACCTTCTCATTATTAATAAACCATAAATATGCTGCCTTGTCGCCTGTTGACTTTGTTAATTCTGGATTTCTGGACTTCTTTTTAAAAAGTTGTTCTCGAAGTTTCATGTTCTTCAAAATATATTTTTTAAGATAGTTTTTTGACTTTAATTGAGGGAAATCTGGTAAATGACGTGCCAATTGTTTACTAGTCTGAGGACCACTTTTTGCTAAAAGGTGAAGAACCACTGCAGTCGGTTTTGGAGTGAACATTTTTTTTTAAGTTTTAATGTCGGGAAGTACGCATGATAATCTTATCGTAGTTTTCAGGTCACACAGATCTTGTCCTTTATCTGTTATATCTGTTATATGTATTATACGTATAAAGTATTATCGTTATTGGTCGTAATTTTTTTTTACTCAAACGAAAATTTTACAATAAAAAAATGGGGCAACTGCGCTTATTTAAAAATCCAATTCTTATTAAAACCATAAGTGAATCCACGATTACCGAAGAAGAAGCATTACGTTCTATAAAAAATTATACATCAAGTAGTGCCATAAGTAGTTTACCGCAAAAAAAAATTAACGGATTTACAAAATTTACAGGAACATTTAGCTTCAAAAACTGGATTTGTTTCCGATCCTGTTAAGAGGAAACATGATTCTATAGAAAGCGTTGTAAGCAAGTTAATTGAAGGATAGATTTGATAGGGTAAGATAGATTAGATAAGCTTTTTTATTTAATAATATTGGCAGTTATTTATTATTCATTTACCTATCTTTAGGGTTGCGACCCAAACATTTTTTTAAAATTACGGCATTACTATTTAGTTTGGTTTGGGAATCGGCATTTCTACTTAATTTGGGTTCATCCCATTTCAGTAAATAGTGTCAAATTCAAAAACCACCGATTTATTAAATAAATTTACATACATTTGATGTACTATTAATTAAAACTTTAAATTATTCAAAACATTTAAATCTTTTAATCAGATATATCCAGGTTCAAATATTGATAACTTAAAGATCAATTTTAATTTTGGACTGGATAAATTGATTATCAGATAATACCAGGAACTGAGGGTATGGCATCACAACCGATTCTGATCTAAAATTTCCCGTCT